AGAGAGAGAGAGAGAGGCAAAGCTGATGTCAAAATTTTGTCAATTAAGGCATTCTTACATCAATAACGACTCTGGCATACTGCAACACCTCTTCTTCATTGGGAGCACCACTATATTCTGCATAGTTCCCAAGCTCTGAGGCATAGCCCAAGTCTCCAACCTGAATAGTGCAGAATAACATTAACTTTAAAATTACAGTATGTGAATCAATGTGCACAGTTATTTGCATTTTCAGCTAACAGTATACATTGAACATATTTTAACGTAATATTTTCTAAAAGTTCAAAAAAGTAACATAAGAAACAGTAGACAGTGATCAGGATCCAGTGTGAAAACAAAGTAATGAGGCCTACAAGCAGGAAGTAGGTTACAAGCTTACAGTATCTGCATAAATTACACTTGCACCTCCTCCAGCTACCATTGTCCAAATGCGCCCTTTCGGATTCAATACAGTGAACTTCAGAGAGGCGCTAGTCTGCAAACAAAACAAGACACATGAAGTAAATACCTTCTATAAGCATCAACATGGATAGAATGGATGAGTTCAAAGTTTAACTCAGCTCGCTCATATATTAAAAGAACAATACAAGGAAACCATAAAGCCAATGTTAAACCTTTTTCTATAAAAGCCAAATGATTAGGTCTTGCAGAAGAACTTATTGAACTGGCAGTCTGGCACATTCAAATAGTAGTTTTTATGAGATCTCTCTAGGAGCGGCCAAGCACGTGCGTTTGCAGCAAAAAAGAAAAGAAAAGGAGGGAATAGTCAAATAACTTACAGTTCCATCAAATCTAAAAGCCTCAGATTTACAATAAATATAACTGATGAAGTGAGGAACTTTGTAAACAATTAAACATGAAATGTAATTAAAATAGTTAGAAAAGATAAACACTATTGTGGACCTTCTCAATAAGAAAGAATAATATCGAGACAAACTTAAAACTTTGAGAAATCTTATACCTAATCAATGTTCAAAAAAGCGCAGGCAGGCGCCTAGGCATCCGCCCAGGAACAGGGGATCCACCCCAAAAACAAACCCCTGCCAACCCCCCCCAATTTCCCCCAAACAAAAAGGACTAAGGAGTTCTTAGGGCAGGGTTTTAGGCCTTTGGGGGGTTTTTAAGGCAATTTTAGAGCCCCAAATCCCTCGTGAGAAAGAGGAAACTTAATATTACATAGTCATAGAATGGATATACATATACAAAGAGCAAAGAGATTGTAAGACATCAAAATGCTTGAAATCCAAATTGTAAAAGTAAAAAGTAAATAATAGAATATCAAAACATGACATATTGTACATAAAAGGAATCAGTTATTCATAAAAGAATTCCATATAGGCCCAGTTCATCGTCCAAATGAGGAAAAATTCAATCCATCACAAAAAAAATCAATCTTTCAATTACAAACATGTAAATATATGATAAAACAAGAAAAAATAAAAGAACAAATATGATTCACAACATAATACGTTATAACAAAAAAATTCAGAACTATTATTCAAAGATGATAATGCTCTAAAAATATCAAAATCAAAACGATGTCGGCCCAAACCTTGTCTATTGGGTCGCCTAAAGTCCTCAAAATAGACCACTAGAAGCTCCAAAAAACTACCACGAACTATTGCCTTTGTTTTCAAAAGAAATTGAAAAACTAAAAAATTTATCGATCTTTTGATACCTCACATATTCGAGGTTTTTAGGGAGTTTTTATCTCTCTAGAAGCCAAGAATTAGGTTGTGGGGGTTTAGAATGCCCCTGAAAACCCTTTTCCCATCTTTTTAAGGGGGGAAATTAGTAAATTGACCTTGGCCCAAGGCATTTTTCCGCCCTCGACAAGTTGCATTGAGGCGATCGCTTGACTAAACCTCCTAGGCAGGTAACGCCGCCACCTAGGCAGGCACCTAGATGCAAGCCGCCTAGGCATTTTGGCCGTTCATCCAAATAGGCGGCCGGGCGGCTGAATTTTCGAACATTGTACCAAAGGTTCTGATTAGATAAGGAAAATAATCCAATTCTAGAACAAAGCTATGTTCAAAAATTCATCCGCCTAGCCACCAGCCAAAATGCCAAGGCGCTGCCTAGGAATAGCTTGGCCAAGGGCGGAAAAAGGCCCTCAGCCACAAGCAAAAAAGCATTTTTTTTCCCCCCTAAAAAAGGAGGGAAATGAGTTTTGGGGGGCAATCTAACCCCCAAAAAGGTGTAAGCCCCCTTAATAAACTTGTTGAGGGGCATATAGGTTTTGGGATTATATCATTGATATTTGGCTGCTCTAGCAGAAACTAAAGGTTAATTGGGAGTAATTAATAGTTAATTTGAAGAATTGCCTTGTGATTTCCATTGATTATTTCAGAAAGATGGCTTCTTTTACTCTTTAAACGTGATTTTGAAATAATCTTTGGTGATAAAAAGGCCCAATCCTGATGATATGTGGTACTAAATGTGCAAGGGACCCTCACAAATTAGGGTTAGGTGCATGTTTTGGTTAGATGGGAGATTAATTATAAGAAAATTAAGAAATTTCGCTAAACCCTACAAAAAATTATAAGAAATTCGACTGTAGATCAGTGCAATATATGGTTTCATATTATGTAACAAAGAATTTGTGTGAAAAGTAAAATAATATGTGTATATTCCTTCATGTATATATTTGAAGTTACTGGAATATTGTTGTTTGAAATAAATAGACTATGGCGCAAAAACAAAAATGTCTATGTCTCAAATAAATAGACTATAGCCAAGGTGTAACAGACGCCTACCCCCACGAACGCATTTCTGAGCGCCCGCCTAGGCGGCCCGGATCCCAAAATCGCCTAGGCGGGCACCTCTGCCTTCTTGAAAATTGGGCAAAAATATGCAACAAAACATTCAATTTACAAAATGCATAAAGGCATGGCCATAAATACAACTCCCCAATGACCATGGCATAACATTCAAGTCATCTGCTACTCATTACGTTGCATTAGCACATGAAAATAGGCACAATTAATCTTTATAAGCACCAGCTAGCATGGAAATGACATTACCTTTTCATCCAAACCATGAATAAAGCTTTCTGTTGGACTCAACACTCTTCCAAAAGGTAATGGGAACTCCACATTGCCCCACCTAGAAAGTAAATGAATGTGCGAATACAAATAAATTACTTTTCTTTATAGGAGAAACTTATTACTTGATTAAAAAGAAAATTACTCCCCTATAAGGAAAAATCACTATTGTTGATCAGGAAGAATGAGTACTTCTTGAAATTCTTGAAGGCAGCAGTATCATCCAACTCTCCTCGCATATCCAGAGGGTATGGTGCCCCATTGACCAAAGTAAATGGGTTCATCTCAAGGAAAGTGAAGTCCAGGTCTAACATACAGATAAATCATTTCATTCCACAGCCAGTAATACTAACTTAACTTGTGACAATAAAATCATGTGATACTCACCTTGAAATATGGCAAAGACACCCTTTATGAAGTCTCCAATTGTGCCTCGAATCTGAGTCAAGAGAAATATGACATCCCTATTACATAAGTGTATCGGGACATGTGACAGGCATAACCAACATAAGTAAAACATGAAAATAATGATCCTAAATCTAGCTAATCCTAAAAAACTTGTGGTTGCTATAAGCCTCACTACAAGCGAAAATAAAAAACACCAGTTTATTTTTAATTATAAGAACTGTGGAGTAACCTATGCCGATGACTGAAACAACAAAACTGTTTCTAGTTTATTTGCGGTCTGCATAGAAGAGTATAGATGTAACTGAAAAGCATTCAATCCAACAATATAATTCAAAGATTAATAAATTTAGAAATGTAAGAATAAATGAAAAACCATTAATAAAGGCAGACCTCCAAAGGCAGAGTTGCAATTAGTGGAGCACAGGCTTCAGGTGTCATTGACTTTTCGGTTGGGAGAAAGATTGTTTTAACCTGTATGATCCAAAGAACAGAATTGAAATATAATTACCATCAAATAGTTTTAAAAAACACAATTAAAAAGCACTAATTAATGATGATTAAAGAATGAGTCATGAATAACTGTAACTAATGAAATAATAGAATCTGAGGGCCGTGAACCATATGAGATTCACTGAAAGGATAAATTCAAGACAGGTAAAAGGTCACACTGAGTAGCACTTAAAAAACTAAACAGATTTTGGTCGAAACATATTGAGTTTCTTGAAAGGAAAAACATTTGCAGCATTGATTAGAAAAAGTAACATTCGCCAACTGTCCAAGGTTCTCCAAGGAACAAAAAAAATAACACATAAAACTCTTTCCACAGACTAGGTATACCTTGTCCCAGTTCTCTTCAATTTCAATTCCACCACATTCCGAGAAACTCACTGTACATCCAAGCCTCTCAGAGACAATTGAAAGGTAAAACTCTTGGGTGTGAGGAACAAATGGTTCTACAATAAATGTGGTAATTGGTGCCTTGCAACCCCCCATCTCCACCTGTGAATATTTCAAAGTTAACAGTGCTCACTGAGAAACCACATTTTCACAAGGACCAAGTTCTTCAATGTTTTAAGTCCCAAACTACAGCGCATAATGGAAAGGACAATTTTCACTCGCCCACATTTTCTAAGTGGAAAATGGATAGGTGCTTAAATAAGTTTAAAAGATCACTTATAATGTGTATTTTGCCCATGCATTTCCACATTAGTGGTCTGGTTTACATGAATGAAATGTATTTATCTGCAGAACACTGGCAAAACATTGTGACATAATGTGAATGAACACAAGAACAAAGGATTTTCTCAATAAACACAAATCACGCACAGCTAACAAAATCTACAGGATTTTGCCTTGAATAATTGTAGTTTAACCCGAATAATTAATCGTCCATAATTGTAAGAGATAACATCGACATGTTAGAGGCGTTGTTCTAATTCCAATCTGAAAGTTTAAAATTGAGAGAAGTTATATCAAGAAAGAAACAGAGAGAGTAAGTACCTCTTTACCAAGGCGTTCTTTGACAAAAGCTGCAACTTGAGCTAGATCGAGGTTAAGTGCGACCAATCCACTCTTCCCCCTCTTCCCAAACAACATATCAGGCTTCACGACAAGCTTGGTGGAGGAAAGCCATGGCTCTTTGTCCGTAATTTCTGTGAAATCTGTTGATTCGGTGACCTAGCAAACACCAAAATTTAGGTTATATATAAAACGCTAAGATTTTGATCAATCAGAGATGTACCTGAGCAGAGCGGATCCCGATTTCAATTTCAGAAATTCTCTTCAAATGCTCTTTCAATAAGCGTTTAGAGTCGTACTCCCTGATCTTCTTCCTAGCCATTGGTCACCTTGAATCGAGGAGGAGAGAGATCAATTCCAGAGGAAGAAGAAAAAGTTAAAGGCAGTAGTAGTACGCTGAAAATTATGATAAGGCGAACGGAGTTGGTGATATTATTATTACCAGCCACCGGAAGTTCAAAGGTCAGAAGAAGGGATGGTGAGAGGTTATCATGAGTAATGTAATGGGGAGATGATCACAAGTTGGTGGGCGAGCTAACTACCCACACCACCACCATTAGAACTAGGTAATGAATTTATGAATGGAGAAAATTGTTTGGTGCTTCCAGCCCACACCTCTTACTATGCGGGCTTGGAGATCTACTCCATCCACCCAAATATAAAATAATAAAAGTGCAGATCTACACCATAAATTATAGACTTTCAAAAAAAAAAAAAAAAAATCAACGGTTCAAATACTTTCTCCAAAAACTATTATTTTTAGTTTTTAAAATTTATTTATTTTTACATATTAATAATCCACATTTTAAAAATTATATATTGCCCGTAAATTACGATTAAATTCTATGCTCACATTTCTATACGTGAGTTTGTATCCTTAGTTAAAAGATCTTCAAAAATTTCTTTATTATTGCTCGGTTTTGGCTAGAGTCTCGGAACGACTTGGCTCGACTCAACTTATATAGGCTTGGCTAAGCTCAACTCGGCTAACTCAAATTATAAAGGAATTGTTTCATCGGGCTGGATCACATTTCTACATATGTGGCCTAGAAAGTGTAAATTATCCATCTTAAAGGTGCATACAAGTAGGTGTTCCATTTAAAAACAATGGAAACTAACAGTCCGAATGTTTTTTTACTAAAAATGTTATTTCTTTTTTTAAAATCTATTGATTTTTTCATATTCATGGTCTCCATGTTAGAGATTACATGTCTTTAAAAATTAAATCCTAAAAGAGGCCCGTATTTCTACATGTGCGGGCTTGGCCGCATAGAAACCGGGTCCAATTATAGCCTCTCTTTGGAATATTTGGAAGAGAGAAAGTTGAGAATATTTGAAGATCGAGCTCGAGACCTCCCCACTTTACGCACTGTTAGTTAGAGATCTGCTGTGACTTGGGCATATGCATCTCTCTCGTTGACTGCGGCACCTAACCTACTCTTCTTTCTCATTCAAAAACTTTCTATCGGTCTATCCTTCATCGGGGTCTGGACGAAGCCACCTAATGGCTGGTTCAAACTTAATTTGATGACAATGTTAAGGGGCTGCGGTCTGGTTTTGGTAGCCTCCTTCGGGACCATACTGGTTGTACAATTTGGTCTTACTCTGACATGCTGCATCCTTACAAGATCAATGAAGTTGAGCTTTGGGTCTTGAAGATGAGTGTGTCCAGACTCAACCAGATGCACCAGAAGGTTATTGTGCCAATGTTATTTGTGGTGTCTGAAGCTAGGTCTCACTCCTTAGAGGCTTACTATTGTCATGGATGAAATTCTTTTATTTTTAAAGGGACGTGAACTTTCATTTCTTCATGTTCATCGTGGCTCCTACTTTGATGCGGATTCCCTAGCTAAATTGGTTACTTATATTGTTTCAACCTCCTAGTGCTGATCTCCCTTTTTCATTTTTTTCTTTCCTTTCTTTTTTTCTCTTTTCACTCGCGTAACCTTTCGTTATCTTAATGAATAGTACACTCCCTCACAAAAAAAAAAAAAACTAAAAACTAAAAACTTACCATTTGGACATTTTAAAAAGGGTGCCATTGGCTTACGGATGCATCCGTAGGTATAGAGGTAAAGTGCACCTTCAAAAATTTTCATGGTACATAATTTTGATGTAAAATGTTCTTAGGTTTATCTCAAAATCTATTTTTATATCTAATCAAAATCTATTTTATATCTAATAATAAAATTTGAAATTTCCAAAATAGTTAAAATCAAGTAGTCTATAAACATATAAAAATCTTGAAAATGGACGGTGTAGATAATATATTATAAAATGAACTATTTCTGAGACTTAAAATCTTTTTATTTTTCATAGTCATACATTTCGATGTCGAAATGATCAATCAAAGGGTTTTCAACATTAAAACTACCTTTTCCGATGGATTTTTTAGGGGCATCCGTAGTTCTACATTATAAGGTTGCATCCTTATATAAATTTTTCTGTGAGGACCCAAATTTTTCAGCTTTTTGGGTAGTTACCGTATGTGTAAGGATAAACCGCCATGCGTGTAAATACCAATCGCCGAGCGTGAAAGAGGGCGAACCGCCGTGTACGTAAGGATCAACCGTTGTGTGTGAAGTATGAAGTCGTTGTGCGTGTGTAACCGCCGTGCATGAAGTAAAAAGCTGCCGTGCGTGAAATATGAAGCCGTCGTGGGTATGTAGCTGCCGTGCGTGTGGGGAACTTGGAACTCTTTGGTGCGGGTAAGTGGATTTAGCATTCATGCTTCCATGAATTTGATTATGTAGTATGGAATCCAAGTATAAAAATGTATGAAATTGTAAAAATGGGGTGGATGTATGTGATTATGCTAGAATGAGCCCTGATTTTTCAAGACTGTAACTCTTATTTACATGATAGATTGAGTATTGAAAATATTTCTGTTGGTTATAAAAATTGGTGGGAAAGCACCTTTGTGAATCTAGTTTAAGATGAAAAAGACTTTGTATTAATGCCTATTTTGGTTTGGAAGTTATTATTCTTCTTTGAAGTATGCCAAAAATTGAAAATGAAATTCCAGAAACTGTGCATGTTGTTATGTTGGATTTTCATTAGCCAAATCATGTCCAAATGAGCCCAAGTAATTTTAAATGAAAGATGGGTAAGTTTACTTCAAAAATGATTTTGGAATCAGGTCGAAATTCCTTATGTATTGGAGATCGCGTTCCTTTTTCTATGAGGATGTCACTATTGTAGTCGCAGGAATTTTCAGAAATCTTATACGTTTTTATAATAATCTGTTTGTTGACCAAAATGTCTCTGATTGAGCCTAAACCAGTTTTAAAATAAAGATGAAAGTCTAGTTTTAAATTAGTTTTGGAACTATGACCAAATTCTTTATGGACGGGGAGTTATGCCCGATTTTCTAAGGGACTATCGCAATGAAGTTTTTGTTCCTTTGTAAATTATTGAATAGACATGGTTGTAATAAGACATGTTTCCGGAGTAGAGAACGCCTATGAATTAGTGAATGCTTATGAATTATAGAATGCTTATGAATTATTGACTATGCATGGTTGAAATAAGTCATGCCCACGAGGTAGTGCATGATTATGAAATGTTAAATGTGCATGGTTGTAATAAGACATGCCTATCTCGATAATGTTGAATGTGCATGGTTGCAATAAGATATGCCTATGTGATAGTGAATGCTTATGAACTGTTAAATGTGCATGGTTGCAATAAGACATGCCTATGTGATAGTGAATGCTTATGAATTGTTAAATATGCATGGTTGTAATAAGACATGCCTATGTGGTAGTGAATGCTTATGAAAGGTTAAATGTGCATGGTTGTAATAAGATATGCCTATGTGATAGTGAATGCTTATGAACTGTTAAATGTGCATGGTTGCAATAAGACATGCCTATGTGATTGTGAATGCTTATGAGCTGTTAAATATGCATGGTTGTAATAAGACATGCCTATGTGACAAGAAGAGGTGCATGATTGTAATGAGACATGCATATGCGATAATGTTGAATATGTATGGTTGTAATATGACATGCTTTTGATGTGATATGAAACACTATGCAATGGGTCATCCATTGGTAGTGTGTTATGATATGAGAAGAAAGTTGTCCCGCCAGTGGAAATCTTTCCCTGATTCCCCATGATAAGACGGGAGTTGGGATGTGAATGTGAATATTTGGGAGGGTCGTGCCCCCCAAATCTATGCAGGCACTACGCATTGGGGTCTTCCAGTGGGCATTACGAAATGGGTCATCCATTTGTCATTGTCTTGCCTCTTGAGGGAGGGTTGAAGTCTTAAGTAACTGGATTGGCTTGGCCTGATTGATAAGGCTTCTACTTCGGGAGTAAGCGCTGTTAGGATTTCCTACAATTATATATATGATTGCCGGAATTATTAATCTGTTATTTTGATAGACTGTTAGTATGTGTGATGACTGCTATTCTGATATATGATTTTCCCTTATTCCATCATTGCAAAAGAATTATGATATATGGCTCCATGTTATGACACCTGTATGAAACTTGCAAATGAATACGAATAACTTTGTTTAGGCAGGAATGAATGATGCTTGATCTGCTTATTGGGCTTTGTAGCTCATCCCTTTGACTTTCTCCAATGTAGAGTGATAGTTCGCGGGACGAGGATGGACAGTAGGGGTGAACGTTTTGGTTGCTGAAGACCTGCACTTGATCAAGAGTCTTTTTAATTGTAGGTGTTAGATGGTCGTGGGTCATGTTGTTGTTTGAGTTGAAGCTATGTATTTTATCATTGGGCCTTTGGTGCCTTGGACATAATTGTAATATATTTTGGAATATATATATATATATGTTCAATATTTGTATGGTTGCGTTGAGAGTTTTTATTTTCTTTCATAGTTTGCTTTGATTATGACTTTCTGAAGCGTTGAGTGCACTCCCACCTCAGTGGCATTCGCTACCTTTGGTCGGCGTTCCGCACCCTACTGCCCTCCGGCTAGTCCGGCAGGACGGCTGAAGGCGGGGCTGTGACATTTTCCTTTTAAAAATTCCTACAAAAGAGGAAAATATTTATATAGCGAATGTGGCCCAAAAAAAAAAAAACCACTCACCATTCTTTGCCAAGTTCATCTAACATTTTTTCAAAAATCTCTCTAGAAATTTTTGCGAACTGTTTCTATATCCTCGAGGTATTAAAAAAATGAAGATTTGGGGTAGAGGGAATGAGTTTATGCGGGGCGGCTCTCATTCATGAATGCACAAGGAACATTCTAGAGTGGTAATCTGCCATCCTTTAGAGGCGTCCTGCCAAACTCGAATAAGCGGGAGTGGTAATCTGCCATCCTTCAAAGGCCTCATGCCAAACTCGAATGAGTGAGATGTGCTCCACATTGTAACGTTCTTCGTGGGGTGTTGGAGGCACGACATTCTAGAAATTTGCAGCAGACATAAGTATGACATCGCTTCCTTCTCCAATTCTTCCCGTCAATTTGAAAACCGGAAGCACTTTTAGGCATGTTCGGAGCTTGGCTTTTACCTTGTAGCCTGCACAAAAATTCAGGCTTCAGCTCCACCAAACCTACTGAGTTTCGAGATGCAACCCTTTTATGGGACAGAATCGTCGACTGCTTACGAACCCCATTT